TAGACTCTCTCGCTCTCTTTCTTTTGGATATAATAAGTGATGTAATCTAACGTTAACGTGCCCATATCTATCACATAAACCAGAAAATACAGATCAAAGACAAGTATAATGAATGATAGTTTACCTATAAATAAATTTGTTTTGAAAAACTTATTTTGAATAAGAATGAAGTCGTTTATAGCTGCTGTTAAAACTATAAGTTTTCCCAAGACCTAAGCCTAAAAACCCGGAAATTGACCAACTTCAGCTTTGCATGTATAAAACCGTCAGTTTTCGTTCGATTTTTTCGAACAACGTTTCACTCGAAAGGGCGCCTAAACCTGAACAAAATTCGATATTTAAAAGTATTTTAAAGTCAAAATAATAGACGGAAAAAATATTTTACTAAAATTTTGAGGCTTTGTAAAACCTGATTATTTTAAGCAACCAAACAGAAAGCCATAAAAGAGTTTTGATATTTTAATAGAGCAAACAATTCTGCACCTGATGCATTGTTTAAAAATGCCAAAATCGATGCAGCTCGGGATCAAAATAGTCCCACAATAGCCAGAGGTGGAAATGATCAAAATACAGAAAATGCTCTAAATAATTGTTCGTCGTCGTCAAACTATTTCCAATCGCTTTTTCAGTCAAGATTAAGTATAGAAAAACCTTTTCCTCCTTCAATACGTTTTTTTCCAATGGAAAAAACAGATTTTTCTAAAACATTTGCGGAAAAAGTCGAAAAACTCGCCAGTTATTAGTTTCTGATCAATAAAATCGACAATTTTCGTTCAAAGTTTTTGATCAACATCCTATTCAAAAGAGCAGAAAAAACTGAACAATATCTCATATTCAGAAAAATTTTAGATTCAAAATGGTAGTCAGAAGAATGGATTTTCGCAAAGTATTGTTTTTATTGTTATTTGAAAAGGCATGGTCGTTTTCACTCATTCTGGTTAAGTAACAAATCTGTATTCAAAAGGTAGCGCACGTCGAGTATGATCGAATACAAGTACGTTTAAATCTTGAAATTGGACACAAAAACTTTCTGTGCAATTGATATTGGTAATATAGTCATTTTTCTACCATGATGTAAAATTTAACGTTTTTGGAAAACATGCCATTGGATAGCCCTTGCAATTGTCTACAAACTGAGCTGGTCAGAATATGCAGACAGATGGGGTCAGTCATTGAAGATAAGTAAAAGAAGCGTTGCGTTTGAGTGTTATCTATGCAATACAGTGTGCCATAATCACAAGAACTGCTTACAGTGTGCCATAATCACAAATCTGAATCCTGTTTTGAATAGCCCGACGATTTTTCTATCACGCGAGGTGCATATCGCCGTTTTATAAGAAAAGTTAATAATCGGGTTTTTGGAAAATCTGAAGGCTAGAAAACCAAGTCCTCGGTATTGGTGCAGAAGATTTAGAGCCATATAGAGAAATCATACAGCCCAATAGAGCAAAGAATTCTGAAGAAAATAAGACATCTCCCAGTTGTCAAAAACGCTTTTGCACCGGAATGTTTTGGTAGTTTCCACACAGTTTGCACTCAACTGCAGCTGAGTTACGACTGGATACAATCAAAACAACAAAAACTAAAAACTGCCGATTTTTTTGACTTTTTCCGGAAGGAAAAATCTTTTTGGGAAAAAATGAGCAAGTTTCTTTGCCTCGTTTTGTGATTTTTCAGCTGTCGGTTTTCCTTCTTACCGATGAGAGATACGGAGTGGAATGTGGAGTAATTCATGAACTGACCAAAATTACTTAATGTAGTTGTGATATGATAAAGTGAATGTACATTTGACACCAAGTTTCTTTCATCGTACAATGGTTCAAATTCTGCCACATACAATACAACCAGTGTACCAACGTATCGAATATTTTCTTGTGTGAAATGGCGACTTTCGGCTAAATGTGCAATGTTAACGAGTTTCGTAAAATGACGGAAATATGGCTCTTCTAATATACCGAAAAATGCATCTGCGATCTATGCGAATATGCGAAAAATTATATATTAAACTCAGACTGATATAGAGTGTGTATTTTCTGAGGTTGAACAGTTATGAGACAATAACAATGAGTAACTCGTTTTCTTTATCTTTTATTAACCTGACTGGTTTAGAAGTCTTCTTCAGAGGCTAACAAAAAAAGCAAAATATATGTCGTCACGGTATTAATACGATATGGAGACAAATGTTTTAGTTGAAAGTTGTGCAGTTTTCCACCAACTATCTAACTGGTTTTCAAAACTGATCATTCAATCGAATAAAAACGGAAAATATACGTCGTTACGGAATTCCATCCTTTTTTTCGGTTTTTTGAGATGGTTTATTTCGTAAAACTTTCGTTTTTTTCAACGAGATTTAGAAAAATTAACATAATATTCGTAATCAGTGTAAAATTCTGCATCGAACAGTGTATCTTTCACAGAAATCTGCGGTCAACAATTTTTTGACTTTTCACGTGGCGAAAATTTTCGAGAAAAAATGAAAATCATCCTCACGACAATTGGAAAAACTAAATGAGCCATCTTGTGCAACATTCAACGCTGGCTCAAAATATATAAAATTCTTAGGTTAAATAATAATGCATCAGATGACGGAAAAATCAAAAGTTCTTTCGTTTGAGTGCCTCAATGAAATTCCGTAACGGTACATTTCGGAAAAATTCGGGTGAAAATTAAAGCAAAATATAAGAGAAATTAGTCCATTCCGATAGCACGTGATGAGGTCTGCCTGTCTATTAGATTTTTATTTAAAAATGAGGGTTGCAGGTGTGCAAAACACATTTTTCTTTGGATTTTGTTAGGGAATGCCACACAAAATGCAGGTGGTTTACAAGCTTTGTTTCTCACTTTAGAGACATCGATTAGTTCTGCAACTAACAGATTCTGGAAGAGCAGATGCTTTTCTGACTGTGGGTATCAAATTCGGCGTATTTTCTGTCGATTTTTATTTTATTTAGTGAGTCATTGGTAATTTTCCACTCTGCAATTTTCACTCTGTCTCAACGACCAAATAAAAATGGTGCTGGTCACAGCCTCTACAGGACGTTTTGAACAAGTTCGACATCAGTTTTGTATACTATCGACAGGGCTCGTTCAAATGGCTCACTCAGTTTTCCTTGGTTTTATAGATGAACCTTCTCATTTGAAGATGACCGTTAGCTGGCCACGTCGTTCTGTGACCAGTAGTTAGACCAAACTAATTTCTAACCCAAAAAAAGACGAAAAATTACCTCACTTCAATTTATATAGCCGAATTAATTTAAATTCGTTTGTAGTAAATTAATTTACATCAAGTTCGCAGTTAAAATCAACTAGAATTAATTTCTAGGCCAAAATTACCTCCAATTAGTTTGAAAAAATATAGATTTAAATCAGTTTTAACCAAACTGGTTTAAATTAATTGACTTAGAATGAGTGCGAACTAATTTCGTGCTTTAAATTACTTCAAATTGATTTCTATTCTGAAATTCATTTAAATAAATGTTTTTGTAACAGATTTTGAATAATTTTGATAATATAAATTAGTCTTAATTAATTTTGAGAGGTAAAATTAATGTACATAAGTTTAAAATAATTTATTTGAATTTTAACGCTCAAAATTAATTTGAGGATAAGGATATTTCAAGTTCATTTGAAATAAATTAATTTAGACTAATTTTCACTGTGCTTATGGAAGCATAGCTTCAGATCGTGACCAGCGAGTGATGAAGACCGCAAGTCTCGATCTTTTATTCCCTTTGGCTTATTCAAAAATAACCACTGGCCTTGTATTTTGGCGCTGATAGTAGTTATTACATTTTTATACTGTGCGGACGCCGACATTTGTTCATCGGGAATATAGTGCGTTAAACAAGGGTATAGCGGCTGCAGCTTTTAGTTTGTTGGTATGTAATAGTGAAACAAAAGTGTGTGTGTCCAGAGGTGTCACAATATCGGTACGCAGTGTATTCTCAAAAAGGGGCTATTTGCTGGGCTTGGTATATTCTCACTGAGAATACACGAGAACCCACCAGAATACGCAAATATATAAATTTCTCTAAAATGTGCTGTGCTTGGTGTATTCTCATTGACAATACACGAGAATATCGTGTAGCCAAACCTAAAATTAATTTGGCTGACAATTCTCAGCCAAAATTAAAATTTCAAGTTTGGCTGGGATTGTTCGGCCAAATTTAAAATCTGACTAACATTCTCAAGCCAAAATTAAAATTTAAGGTTTCACCAGGCAAAAACTATAAATTTTAGCTAGAAATTGTCTATTAAAGAGATGGACACAATAGAGGACCAGCGTCTAATATCGCGTCCTAGCGCTCATAACTTTGAAGGGGGTCTTCTAAATCGTCCCTAAAAAAAGCCGATTTTGAGCTGAAATCGCTTGATCAAGAGTTCGCACTGTGTACAAATCTGTGTGCGCACACACTTCTTTTTGTCTAGTAGCTGAATATTCACTCTAACCCAGATCGTCCATTCCGGCGTCAGGACCCTGATGGAACATGCCGGAAGTTGTCGGAATGCGGTAAAATCCGGCACCAATCATAGCGGATTATGCCGGAAATCTGTTGCTCGGAATCTCTGCCGGAAGATGTCGGAAAAGATCGGACCGCATCCAACATCTTCCGGCTGATGAATCGGATTTTGCTGGATTTGACAGGGTGTGACCAATTTTGAGGTTAAAAATAGTCTTCAATTTTTTCTTTCATTTTCTAGTGGTTCTTCTCTCTGTTCATTCGAGAGAGTGGAGGGGCCCACTAGTTAGAACGTGTACAACACGCCTGTTGAACAGTGTGAGTCATCGCTCACACTGTTAAGAATTTCAGAAGAACAACTTCTCATTTTTCATTTTCTAGTGTCGTATTTAAACTAAGTACTCCTGTCGTGAAACAAAACGGTGAATATAATATGCGCACAGAAAAGAAAGAAAAAAAAATAAAGTGCACATCACAGGATCCGTCGATTTCCGGTCTTAACGGATCCGCCTAGTTCCGGATATCGGGTCCGATATTCTGACAGCGCTCTGTGTGTCCACACTGCTGGCGTATTGGTTTGTAAATAAACGTGTTACAAACGCTAAGTTTGTAATACTCATTCTAGAGTGCCAGCGCCAAATAGCGTTAAGTCCAGCGGTTCGAATCTCCGCGTCGTCCAATATCCAAGGAACGGTAAGTTGAAGCAGTGTACAGTTTGGACAGACAGACAGATAGGTGCCGCCGCACGAAGTTAGTACACACATGCTGTGCATTCGAAAAGAAAAAAGAGGTTTTACTGATCGCTAAATAGATATAAGTGACGATACTTCTGATATAAAAGATCGGATCATGGTTAGTTTTGGCTCTACCACGTGATACACTCAGGCTCAGAATTCCGTTTTCTTTATTTGCTAGTTCGTATCTAAAAGCCTTCATTGTTATTGCTATTTGATGATGATGGTAATAATTCATCTTCGAATTTCTTAGCATTGGACGGTGTACTTTCTAATCTATGTATATTATACAAAAGAAACGAAATGTAAAAGTAATTTCCAGCCATATAACCATTTATCGTAAAGGATAGGTTTTTCTAATCTTTCTTCCATGTAGCTGAGACGGGGATATGCAAAATATCTTATCATTACTGTTTTCTGTTGACTTGCAAACAATTTGTTTTATCTCTTTTGCATTTCAGTCGTTTCCAAAATTTTCGAATAAAACCTCGGTGAACTGCGGGTGTTTTGTCAACCAGTCGGTTAACCGCGGTAAGGACAAACCGTGGTTTCTTCGATCAAAATCCGGCTTCTTAAAGCCGTGGTTTTCCAAACCGCGGTTTGGATCGAAGAAATCACGGTTTGTCCTTACCGTGGTTAACCGCAGTTTTCGGAATGATACCGCGGTGAGACAAAAAACCCGCGGTTTTATTCAAAAAAATTCTCGGTTGGGCAAAGACATGCAAAAGAAGCGTTGGGGTACGAAAAACACGTGCAACACATTCCGTTAGTCATTTTTCTGCCCTAATGAAAAATTATACACTTCTCCATATCATACTGCTCGATAACGCTTGAAATTCTCTGCAAACTGAGCTAGTCAGAATATCTTGACCGCTTGGACCAGTCATCACAGACATCCAGAAGAAGCGATCGAAAAACACCAGTACGGCTTTCCTTTAGTCATATTTTCTCGCAATATGAAAAATTATACACTTCTCTGTAGTATACCGTTCGATAGCCCTTCAAATTTTATACTAACTGAGCTGGTCAGAATGTCTTCACTGGTTGGACCCGTTACCAAAGACAAACAAAAGGAGCGTTGGAGTACGAAAAACACGTGCAGTGAACTACTGTAGTCGTTTACCTGCCATAATGAAACATTATGTATTTTTACAAATATACCGCTGGATAGCCCTTGAAATTCTCTATAAATTGAGCTATGCAAAATATCTAGACTTCTGGGGTCAGTCATTAAAGATACGCAAAATAAACGTTTGGGTATTATTTATGCAGGAAACTGTGTCCTAATCATAATAACTCCTTTCTTTTTCACTTGAAATTTTTTCGAATACAACAGAAAAATTATATAAGTTTACTCATATTTGTATAGCTTGCTGCACAATCTATGACTGCTAGGGAATTCCCATCATAATACATCAATGTAGATTGTGGATCACAGGTAGTTACTGGGCGGTATGAATTTACCCCATTACGAGTGTCCGCTGAATTACATCTAGAATTGAGAAGTGCTTTTAGCACACATAAGTGGTGTAGACTGTAGTGTTGAGGTGGTTGCTAGAGAAACAGTAAAAAGTGTAAAACCTAATCACTTATCTGACTGATTAATTAACTAGAGTTGCCTTGGTGGTTTTCCTAAACTCTATATGATGAGTTCAGGTATTCCTTGGTGGCTCGCCTTGGAGTGACTGGTATTCGGCTTTGTTGATTGACAGGCGAAACTATATCACTTTTTGTCATTTCTGAAATGGAAAAATTTATTATTAATTTTTTGACATCTTCTTGTAGAAATCTTTCTAATGTGAAATTTCAAATGGATCATTGGGACACTTTATGGACTCTATGAGGAGACCGAATTATTTAGAATAATTTCTGAAATTAACTTACAGTTACCCTAACGGTTAGAGTAAAAAAAACTCCAACTAGAAAAATGCATACTACACGAGAATTTTGCATCGTCATTTGGAAACTTTAGTGTCTAGAACATATTATGCTATCTTCACAAGAATTTTGTATCTCTCCTTAAGAACTTTCTTGTCTAGCTGCCCAGAATAATGCTTTTACACGAGAATTATGCTGTTTTGTGTGAGAATTATGCATGTAGTTTAGAGGAAATTATGCTATCTTCACGAGAATTTTGTATCTCTGCTTAAGAACTTTCTTGTGTGGGTCATGAGAAGAATGCTTTTAGACGAACAACTATGCTGTTTGGTGTGAGAATTTTGCATATGACCTCGACCATATTATTGTATCCTCCTCTCGGTCTTGTACTTTTCTAAATCGGGCCAAACGAAGCACACAAAATTAAAAGTGTATACTTTTCTGTAAAAAGATCATACCACCTGAAAATCCCAAAACTTGTACTTTGCACTCCTCCCTTAACAATAAATCAACACCAGAAAACAATAACAGTTACCTTTAAAAAACATTTCTTCTCAATACATTTTCAGACTGTATTTTGCACATAGTACAAAGGCATCCGAAAATCCGCAAAAGAAACTGAATAATAAGCAAAAAGAAAATTTCGGTTATATAAGGGACACTGCTATCGATAGAAAGAAAGAAAAAGAAAAGATAAATGAATCACAAAACAGTGAGAGGAAAGAGAAAGAACGTTCTAGGGGCTACAATAATAGCAGAAAGAGCAAGAGCAAGAGCATGCGAAAATCAACTCGATACAGTTTTTCAAAAAAAAGTCAATGAATTTGTACACATAACTGGATTTTTCGTATCCACTTTTCTTTTTTAATCTATCTTGATCTCAGTCACTTTCCGTTAGCTGAAGCACTAGTACACTCCACACGCCTAGCTTATCTGTACTTAGACTGTACTGCAATCGATTCTGTCTTTTATTTGTGTGTTTATTCATTCGGTTCTTTCTTTTTCATTCATGTTTTCTTCATTTTCAGGGCTTTCTTAGCATCATCGTTACTTAAGCAAATCGTGATCATGTTTTACAAAAATGTTACCAAACACTGGAAGATGTTAAGCTCGCTTTGTGCAGTAGTCTGATATATCCGCTTAGACTATGCATATAATCACATTTCTTCCATTCTAGACCGAATGCATATTGCCGTGTCTTTCCATCGCACTGCAGTTACTGAATTGATTGTTAAATGACAACTTTTGGCCATCGGATATAATTTTTTCAGTATTTTTGCCTTTAACTGGGAATGTTTAAATGCCGAAAAGCAGCCTTTTTAGAACGTGTAAAATACTATCTCACAGCAACAGACAGTTAACAGTACCATTGAGTGGCTGCTTTTACAGGGTTGTTGACATCTAGTGGTCATTTATTTGGACTTTTCTCTGTCTGATTTCTTTTCTATGAGCACTCAGATGAAGATTTCCACCTTTCATCAGATAATTTCCACCTTTCTAGTAGATGTCGTTTGCTATTTGTCGGTAATACCGACAAATAGCAACTGATATACAAACCGATATTAAAAACTCGCTGTTTCATTTAAAATGGAACAGCCAGTTTTGCAAAACACTGTGACAGTCATCTATTCGAATTACAAGACATGTCTATCCAATTAACAGCGTTAATAGGATAGTACAACACTTGTAGCTGCCATACCGTAGGCATGGCAGTTATACCTGGTACAACAAATTTATTACCAAAAAATGATGATGAAGCTTTTTAAACAGCCAGAAATGATATTAATCAAATTGGTGGTTATCTAATATTAGTTAAAGCAACAGGTGGAGGTGGTGGTATTGGTGTGCAAATTTGCAATAATGACAATAAACTTTTATTAGCAATACAACAATGTCGTAATAAAGCTGAATTATATTTTGATAATAATGATATTTATATTGAAAAATATTATCCTAATAGTCGTCATATTGAAGTACAAGTATTTGGTAATGATTATGGTGAAATTATTCATTTAGGCACTCGTGAATGTTCAATTCAAAGAAGATATCAAAAAATAATTGAAGAATCACCTTCACCTTTTTTTCTAAATAACAATGATATTATATTAGGTAATTTATATACTTGTGTCATAAAGTTAGCTAAATCAGTCAACTATAACTCTGTTGGCACTATTGAATTTTTACTGGTTGAGAATGGCCCAAATGATGATGATACTGGTAAAATTTTATTTTTTAGAAATGAATACAAGACTGCAAGTTGAAAAGTACTATTTAATCATTTATTACTAAATAATATAAATGATTTTAATAATCATATTCAGTATGTTTATTTACCAAGTGGTACGTAGAAGTACGTATTTGTGTTGAAGATCCAAATCATGATTATATACCATCATCAGGTTTAATTACATTTGTCAAATGGCCAAATCATTATTCTTGGTTAAGAATTGATACTTGGATTACGATAGGTACAAAAATTACTTCAAATTATGATTCTTTACTAGCTAAAATAATTGTTCATGGTAATAATCGTAATCATGCAATTAAGAGAATGAATAGAGTTCTAGAGCAATTGACTATTTCGGGTCCCATTACAAATATTGGCTTATTAAAAAATATTTTTCAAAATGATGATTTTTCTATTGGTAATATAACTACAAAATTTAAAAGTTTTAAAATCAATTCATTTTATACCAAATGGTATATATGTGTTGAGAGGTGGTACAGAAACTACAATACAAAATTATCCTGGACAATTACCTTTACGTGTTTATGGTATACAATCATGTGGTCCAATGGATCAGTTATCTTGTCAATTAGCGAATCTAATTGTTGGTAATCAACTAAATAGTTCCGAAGATAAACACAAAGTAAGTCGAGGTCTTCGATCGATATCATTTGAACATAGCTTTCACTTATTATAAAACGCTTTAACTTACAATGCTGCTATTTATTAGCTATTTTTTCGTGTAATAGTACGTGACCAGATAGCTAAGTGTGTTCGCTTTAGTGCCACTAATGCACTCAACTATTAGCAAAATGATTTCAAATTCATTGAATGAAATTTTAAATTTAAACAAGTCGGAGACAACCCTTCATTTCCTCATAATTTCTTCCTTCTAGCTAAGCACCATTACCGAACTATTAACGAACCGAATCTGAGATTAGTTCCAGCTGCTTCTTCGGCTCAGTAACAATGTCTCTCACTTCGTCTCATGCACGATCAGCAGCCATCTTCACCCATTCCATCTCCCACTTATCGATCTTAGTTCATAAATCGTCAAATTGAACACTCTTTCCTTTTTTGTGTTTCTTTTTCGGATGTTTTTATTCTCACCCTTCACCAGAAATGGTAGCGGGTCTGACTAACTAATACTTGTCGATCTCATCAAACACCTTTGAAGTGGTGGCATCACATGTCTGTTTGATGCTTTCTTTGAGAAAGTCGTGCTCTCGAATGAGGACGTCGAGTTGTCTTACGAGTTGTTGTCAATGTAAAAAATAATGTGTCGCATGTTTGTGTCCCAGCTACTAAGAACTTTTAGACCCAGTTCTTGAACTCATTTACTCTGTTCAAAAGGTTGCTAAATTTTATATTTTACTATCCTCAACAGTCTTCATTAGGATTTTTCTCGGCTTCTCTTCAGTTTTGATGAGCTATCGGTGGCACAAATACGTAAATTATCAGAAAATTTTCGGGCTTTTAAAAAAGTGTCAACAACGTTCTATAACTAAATTTGAGTGGATTGAGTAGTTTTTTTAGTTGACTATAGACGTTTACTTAAGAAGAAACTTTCCCAAATGATTATACGTCTTTCTGATTAAAACTAGTTTTTCTAGGGCAATGCTTTATGCTGATCACGAATCGGATATTCATTTGAGCCCATGAGAATTTTTACTACCTGCTTACAGAAATCAAGAGCCTGTTTCTTAAAAAAATTTAATTTTGCTTAAATGGGAAATTTGACTTAAATAAGATTTTTTTGCTAAGAGTTTTTCGAAAGCATCTTACCTTAAGGCCCTTCCCCCAGAAATTATCCTCGACACCGTACATCCGATCTTGACGAAACTTTCCAGAAATGTTAGACCCAATGGGTTACGAGAATGAAAAAATTTTTTTTGTCTCCAAGTCTTACGGTTTAGGAGTTTTCCAGAGATCAAGGTCTGAAAAGGACCCTGAAGTGTGTCCCAAGATTTTTAAATATACTTCAAGCTGGAGAGTTTGTTTTATTTTAAACTAGACACCTAACTACATGGACTGACCGGAGCCGATTTTTCAATTAAGCTTTTATTGGTTTTCTAGGCAACCAACAACCTCCAAAACCCGAAAACTCCTTCCGGATTTTCTAAAAATCCTCAATTTGACAAAAAACTAAGACCTAATTCAAAAATCGGCGCCAGCCAGATCATGTAGTTTCTTTTCCTCTTTTAAACAAAAAAAGAATAAATTCTCTACGACAAACCGCTATTAAAAATCTTGGGAAATACTTCAGGTGTAAGCCTTATATAGAGAAAACGCTGTATTAAACGCCGAATGAAATACTCAATTTTAGGACTTCTAGGGAAATGCCTGTAACTTTTTGATGTAAGATCATAAAGAGTTGTGCGAGGTCTTATTTTGATGAGAAACGTTTGCTCTACAAATCTGTATGTTCAGAAAAATTTTAATTGCATAAGTATCTAGGAAAAAACTATTATGAAGACCCAGTTTTTCGAGGCTCTGAGAAAACTTGCTCAAAATTCGCGAAAAACTACTTTTGTAACCTAAAGCGATACAGATTCTGGAAGCAGACACTTCAGGCTATCTTTCCATGTGCGTATCTCAAAACCGATCTGTTGACCGAAAATCACCATTTCTGAGGGGGAACCCTTAAGGGATCTCTCGATCACCCTTAAGTGTTCACTTAATTTTTTAAGTGAAAAATTATTTATAATTTATATACCTTTATTTTACGTTTTCTTCGTTTTTTTACGTTTTTTCGTAGTCAGACCCACAATAATTAAATAGAAAATAATTTTAGAAGGATTTTGCTCAAAAAATTTCATTTGAATAATTTAAATTTGTTAAAATATGAGTGATTTTTACTGCATGTTCTCTGTTTAACTTAAGTTGTTTTGAGAAACGCACTTAAGGAGAAACTTAAGTGTTCCTTAAGTACTACTTAATTTTTCCCTTAAAAATCCACTTAAGTGAATACTTAAATTTTTTTGAAAAATCAGGCTCCAGGTCTCTACAGATACGCTACATCGTTTCAGTTTAACAGGCTCCGATACCGCCAGTCAGAAAAGCAACTCAATTTACATATATGAAAAAATGCTTAGGTCTACCAAATAAGTTTTTGCTGGGATAAGAAAAATTTCACGCACAATAAACTTTAAAAATATGCACAAATATATATGCAGACGCAAGAATAATAATCCTCTAACTGAGCAAAAACCTATTTGGTAGACCTAAACATTGTTTCATATATGTAAATTGAATTACTCTTCCGACTAACGGTATCGAAGCCTGTTAAACTGAAACTATGTGGTAGATCTGTAGAGACCTGATTTCTGTAAGCAGGTAGTAAAAATTCTCATGAGTTCAAATGAATATCAGATTCGTGATCAGCATCAAGAATTACCCCTAGAAAAACTAGTTTTAATCAGAAAGACGTAGAATCATTTGGGAAGGTGAATATTTGAAGAAGAGAAAGGCCGACTACTCATATGGGAATCACGGAGAAGAAACGTGTAATATTTCTGCAGCAGCGCTCTAGTGTTGTTACTGTTCTCTCGATCCTCGAAGAAATGGTAATTCTTTTCTTAATGTATTTTTTTAACTCTTCTATCAGATGTTTTTACGTCTTCAGTAGAAGAACTGATTGCTAAATGACGTCCAATCCCAGGCTTCGTAAACTCTCCAGTCTTTCTAGTTTTATAATTCTCTTTGTTTTTTCCGTTGATTTCCATCAAAATAGATTTTTTCTTAATAACTTTAATATAAATATAAGAATAGCAACTACTGTTTGTGTAAATTTGTTCTAAATTTAATTAAATAGAAGAAAAAAAATCTGTCGTTGAAAACATCAGTGTAAAATTAATACCAGTACGTGAAAAAATGATGAAAAATAACGATAAATTAGATGAATATAGAAAAAACCTCAGAAATAAATAACAAATCAGAGTAAGACGAATCATACTGGAAGCGAGCAACTATATTTTGTGAGAAAAAAAAGATGATTAACTTTTAATACGTTCTTTTCTTCTAGACTTTTTGAACATGCACCTTAAATTTACTAGAAGGGTAGTTAATATCCCGTTCTTTATAGTTTTTGTTCAATATAACAGTTGCACTTAAACATTAAAAGCTAAAAGTTGTTATTATCTTACTCTTTGATATAAATCCTGCCATAAGGAACTTCAAAGTCCTACTCCTAATCTTACCCTTCTTAGTGAAATTATACTTTTTTATACAAAGATTCCTTCTCTGCATATAATATGTATTATTTTTTATAACTCATATTAGACTATTTCAAGATCAAAACTGATAAAAGACGGA